AAGCGGCGTCCAAACGAAGTTGGAAAGGAACGCGCCAACGTGCTGAAAGCCAGCCTATTTATAGGCGGACGACAGCACCACAAATTAACGTAATTAACTCGCTAAAAGAATCCCAAAATATATTAACAAAAGATCCTTCAACTAAAGTCTGTAAGAAAACAAAGAAAAGAAATAGACAAGAATCATAATGTGCCCGAAGCACATAACAGGGCTGCTCAGTAGAGCAGAGGTTAGCACTGCCACCTTGCAGCCAGATTCTGGGTTCGATTCCCGGCCCGGGGTCTTTCTGCATGGAGTTTGCATGTTCTCCCTTTGCATGCGTGGGTTCTCTCCAGGTACTCCGGCTTCCTTCCACAGTCCAAAAACTTGACTGTTAGGTTAATAGGCTTCTCTAAATTCCCCTTAGGTGTGATGTGTGCATGAATGGTTGTTTGTCCTGTTTGTTTCTATATTGCCCTGCAATAGACTGTCGACCTGTTCAGGGCGGACCTCGCCTTTCGCCTGAAGACAGCCGGAGTTAGGCATCAGCAACCCTCGCGACCCCATTAGGGATAAAGCGTGATTGAAAATGGATGGATATATGATGTATAAATACTTGTTATATAAATCCTTATGGGTTAAGTATATATACATATTTACAGCTGGTGATGATGCAGGTGCTGACATGAAAGGATTCTAAACCAATAGGAATATTAGCTTGAGGTCACATGACATTGAGTTCAGGCATTGCTAGATTCTAGTAACTCAGCGACAAAACAAATCATGCTTTTGAGCTGTTTTTGTGCAAAGTACAGACAACGGATCCATTTAAAGGGATGAGTGAAAAAGCCACATATGGAAAGATGTTCACCCCAAACCTTCTTCATTCAAAGAGCATTAAAGATGGAAGTGGCTGGGTCTTCCAGGGTGATGAGGGTCCAAAAACCCCCACTTAGATAACAAAAGAGTAAAAAGGCATTTTAAGGTCCTGGATGGCCTTGCCAATCTGCAAACCTCAACCCATAGAACATTTCTGGAGGGAGTTGAAAGTCTGTGTTGCCCAGCAACAGCCCAATAACACCACTGCTCTAAAGGAGATCTGATGGAGGAATGGACCAAAATACCAGAAACTGTGAGCAAGAATGAGAGGAAATGTTTGACCTCTGTCACTGCTAATACATGTTATTAGGGATGCACGATATAATCGGCCCCCTATCGGTATCGGCCTGTATCGGCCTTAAAACTGAATATC